TATAATGAAAATGACATCTTTTTTGGGTGTTAGTTCTAAAAGGTCTTGTAGGTCTTCATAGAACCATTCAACTTCAGCTTCTTCAGTGTTACTGGTTAGGGCATAGACTTGGATTGCCGTGATATTGAATGGTTTGCCTTGGAAATGAACAGAGATCATTCTGTCATTTTTGAGATTGCATCCGAGTACTGCATTTCGGACTCTTTTGTTGACCATGATGGCTACTCCACTTCTTCTAAGGGATTCCTGCCCACAGTAGTAGATATAATGGTCATCTGAGTTAAATTCACCCATTCTAGTCCATCTTAGTTCGCTTATTCCTAGAATTTTGACGTTCACTCTTGCCATCTCCTGTTTGATCACTTCCAATTTGCCTTGATTCATGGACCTAACATTTCAGGTTCCTATGCAATATTGCTCTTTACAGCATTGGACCTTGCCTCTATCACCAGTCCCATCCACAACTGGGTATTGTTTTTGTTTTGGCTCCATCCCTTCATTCTTTCTGGAGCTATTTCTCCACTGATCTCCAGTAGCACATTGGATACCTACCAACCTGGGGAGTTCCTCTTTCAGTATCCTATCATTTTGCCTTTTCATGCTGTTCATGGGGGTTCTCAAGGCAGGAATACTGAAGTGGTTTCCCATTCCCTTCTCCAGTGGACCGCATTCTGTCAGACCTCTCCACCATGACCCATCCATCTTGGGTGGCCCCACACGGCATGGCTTAGTTTCACTAATTAAAAAAACAACTTCACCCTTCCAAACTTACTATGCATATGTTTGCATACAAGATGTACTACAACACAGATGATCAATACTTGCCAATTACTGATCTGAGCACACTATATTACCCATGTTATCTACTTAAAATCTCTCAACATACTGACAATGGTGGAGAGATTTGGAAATCATGTCTCAGAAGGGTTTAAGCAAGGTATCTAAGGTTATAGAGACAGAAGGGAAGTTATTCTAACCTGAATTTTTTGATGTGAACTTTTTCTAATTATACTGGAATTAAACATCTTCTCAATTCTAAAGGAAATCAACCCTGAATGTTCACTGGAAGGACTGATGCTGAAGCTCCAATACTTTGGCCACCTGGTGAGAAGAGCCAACTCATTGGAAAAGATCCTGATGCTGGGAAAGATTGAGGGCAGGAGTGGGAGGAGGTGACAGAGAATGAGACAGTTGTATGGCATCATCAAATCAAAGGACATGAGTCTGAGAAAACTCTGGGAAGATGGTGAAAGACAGGGAAGCCTGGCATGCTGCAGTCCATGGGGTCGCAAAGAGTCAGACATGACTGAGTGCCTGAATAACAGCAAAAGACATCTTCTAAGTTTCTTCTAGTTTTAACCCAGCAAAAATATGCACATTTATCCTAATGAGGAATGGGCTTTACTGTAAATCTGAATATAAATCTGATTTATTATAAATCTGATTTACTTTAAATATGATCTATGGGCATTTCAAAATAAGATTTATTTCCTTCAATGAAATAGTCACTTGAAAAAAGCAGAAGTATGTTAGCAAAAGGGACCTGATTCAACCACCGACATGTGGAATTGACCAATTCCTATTCATTATCCTTAGTATCTGAACTCACATAAAAAATGATCACAGAGTCCCTTTGAATGGCCTCTTCCCAAATGGTTATTCTTAACATTAAATTCTTAACAGAGGGAAAAACCAAAGGCTGAAGTGTTCCAAGTCACTTCAGAGTCAATATTAATTAGAACCAAGCAAAAAGCAAATGTGCATTGGAAATGATTCAACTGGCGTTGAAGTGCCCAATGTTTTATTCTATTTTATCTGAAAGGAAGCTAAAACACCAGACTGAGCACCAGTCTGGGCCTGGGGACTCTGGAGGCAGGCTGCTGGGCTTTGACCCCAGGTCCAAAGTTGCTAATGCCTGACTTGTGCCCACTGATTTCAGTCTTCAAGGCCCAGCGTCTCCTGTGCTAGATGCTGAGAACAACCCCTGTCACTCAAGGTGATGGGATGACCAATGTTCATCGCAGCACTGTTTATAATAGCCAGGACATGGAAGCAACTTAGATGCCCATCAGCAGACGAATGGATAAGGAAGCTGTGGTACATATACACCATGGAATATTATTCAGCCATTAAAAAGAATTCATTTGAATCTATAATGAGATGGATGAAACTGGAGCCCATTATACAGAGTGAAGTAAGCCAGAAAGATAAAGAATATTACAGCATACTAACACATATATATGGAATTTAGAAAGATGGTAATGATAACCCTATATGCAAAACAGAAAAAGAGACACAGATGTACAGAACAGACTTTTGGACTCTGTGGGAGAAGGCGAGGGTGGGATGTTTCGAGAGAACAGCATCGAAACATGTATATTATCTAGGGTGAAACAGATCACCAGCCCAGGTTGGATGCATGAGACAAGTGCTCGGGCCTGGTGCACTGGGAAGACCCAGAGGGATTGGGTCGAGAGGGAGGTGGGAGGGGGGATTGGGATGGGGAATACATGTAAATCCATGGCTGATTCATGTCAATGTATGACAAAACCCACTACAATGTTGTAAAGTGATTAGCCTCCAACTAGTAAAAATAAATGAAAAATGAATAAATAAAATGATTCTTCCTAAAAAAAAAAAAAAGGTGATGGGATGAGCCTCTGAAATAATGCTGCACTGAGCAGCGAGAATGGCCACGATTTTGCAGACTCAGAGGTGTTCAGAGCGGACCCCAGGCTGGGGGGGTGGGGGATGACTTACCGGAGCGCCTGGTGGCCCAGGTGGGCCCTGGTGACCCCGTGGTCCGGGGGCTCCCTGGTAACACAAGCCAAACACGAATTAGCCATGAGGCCCCCTCCTCATGTTCCAGGCCTCCAACCAGGACCCTCTGCCGACTGTCTTCTTCCTGAGTTCCCGGCAGGGACGCAGAGACACTGGTGGGAACCAGCATTCCTGGCGGATAGTCAATCCGACCCGTCTCTGAGGGGCTCCGCCTGAGCTCAGCAAGCAGTCTAGCCCCCACGCTGGCGGCCTTTCTATCTCTACCACCACCTGGGGCCCCACGGCAAGAGAACCCACAGCCCGCTTACCTGCTCGCCCTTCAGGCCCTCTCTCTGCACCTGGGGGACAAACCAGACGTCAGAAAGCTGGTGGCCTCGTCCCAACAAGCACCCTCACTCCACTCCATGGGGAGCATTTGTATAGCCCTTTCTGACTTTTCTCTGATTTTATCCCATTTTCAGTGTTCAAGAGCCTCAGAGCCAGCTCATGTCACAAAGAAGAGTTCCACCTTGTTCTCAGAGGCAACAACTCTCCCAACTACACAATCTGATCAGGGTCCGAGTCCGGGATTTTAACCTCTAGGGGCTGCACCACTTACCACAGAGCCTGGAACCCCAGGGGGGCCTGCAGGACCTGCGGCACCCTGCGGAGAAATGACAGACATTTCATTATAGGGAACTGTTGTGATTTTGAGCTATGGCCCCAGTGACTGTTTCAAATTACAAAGCAGCCAAGATCTGTCCCAGTAACATTCCTTCAACATGAGTTGAGAGTCACTGTATCATCACCCAAGAACCTCTGGTTTCTAGACTCTTCCAATAAATAATCCAAATCACACCATGGCCCTTGGACCTTGTCTTCCCACTTCTGCTGCATTCATCATAATAAGCAATGAAAACTCAGCTATCACCCAATCAGGAGGGGCCAAACACCTCTATAAATGGGGGGGGGGGGTTGGAATTTATAATTCACACACACACACACACACACTCAGTAGTGGGAAAGAGCTGTCACCTATATCCAAACTTTAAGAACCATCCCCTCTTAGTGACTTGAAATAAGCCACTTATTTTAGGATTTAGCATCCTCAGTGTCAAGAAAACTGCAAGAATACATTAAAATCCTGACACCAGGATAACAGAACAATATAAATCTCAACTCTAAAAATATTTAGACAGAATAATTAGGCAAGAACTGAAGTTCAAGTGAGCAAGTCTGGAAGAGATCAACCTTCTCCAGCCCTCACTGCTAAAGAGAGGCTTTCTCAGCCCACAGGTGTCTTATTTATTTATAACTATACCCTGTTTCTGGAAGGAGTCAGAGCAGCCTTTTTCTTTTCCTTTATTTTCAGCATGTGCTGGGAGGGCATCTGAGTCGGGCAGCGACCTTGACCTGCGCTCTGCAGGGAGGCGCTGAGCGCATGCAAGCATCTCTGGTCCAGCCCTCCTCACTTTAGCCGGGTTCCCCCCACTGCCCCACCTCTCTCCTGGCTGTTCTCAGACCCAAAGTCTGATGTCCTTCTTAAGGGCCTAAGCATCTGAAAGAAACTTTCTCTTGTACTAAATGCAGGGCTAGGTCTCATCACCCCTCCTGCTATAAATCCAGAGCACAGCATGCCTTCTCCATTTCCTTTGTGACCCTGAAGGCCTTTCAAGGCTATCATCTTCATACATTTTCATAGAACTTCACAATTTTACATGCAGTTCTTTGCATTACAGAAATCCTAAGCAGTAAATTCAGTGATTTAATAAGACTTGTTGTGAAGATGTTCTAACATAGATGACCAGCAGGATGAGATGCAACCTCTATTTTACATATGAAATACCCAGCACATTTTCAGAATTATAATTCTGGCTTAAAAAAAAAAGTAAATGCTGCAAAGGAGAGAAGGAGAAAGAGGAAAAGAAGTTTGTAAGATTTTTTTGGATTTGTTCCTACTCTGCCTTAGCCCAAAAAGCCATTTAAGAAGCACAATATTTTTAATATGTCCAGATGTTATATAATGGGTTATTTTCATTTGTTTTTTAGATGGATTTTTATTTCCCCAAATAGAAAATAATGTTTAAATACAATCACCAGAAGTTTCTTGTAGGCTGAGTTCTAATGCACAATTCACCACCTCTGTCTGCACTTTGTTCCCAGAACTCCAGCACGGACACCCCCCAAAACACAGGCCTCGATTTGTTCCAGGGAGCAGCTCCACACCTGCTCGTCAGGGGCCATCTCCCACCCCAGCACCTGGCTTACCTTCTGTCCCTGGGGTCCTGGCTCGCCGGGAGGACCGGGTCTTCCCTAGAGAGAGAACAACACGGGGTCCATCAGGGCAGTGAGTGGAGAAGGCAGGGCTGAGGGTAACACGCCTCCAGATCTGTTCCTAGCCTTTTCCCCAGAAGGTTCCCTCGACAAGTTTTCTCAGACTGCACGTGTCGCTATAAAGTTAACCCAGGCCCACATCTCCATGTGGTGCCCTTTGGACTCACGGATGTATCTCACAGAACACCCGTTATCAGGACATTAAGAGTTCTGTTAATTTGCACAGCTTCATATTATTGCCTCTATCTATTTAATACAGACCCTAATTTACTCAACTTGTTTCTTATTTATGAGCATCTGGGCTGTCTGTAATCTTTTAGTCTTGGGGCCAGGACTGCAATTCACGCATCACTTTGAACACACGCACATCACCTGTGGTCTTTCCATTAACGACCAGCTGCCGTGTAACCAAGGTTAGACCAGTTTTAAAGCGGTGTGTTCTCTGGGATCCCTCCACTCTGGTGTGGAGGAGTCCGTGAGCAGCAAGCTGGGGGCTGGTCACTAAGCCTCCCGGAGCCCCCGGCCGAGCAGGACACGGACTGAAGCCCGCGGGCCCTATGGGCCGACCCAGGCCCCACCCTGGCCTGCCCACCTACCTGCTCACCAGTCTCTCCCGGCTTCCCGGGGAACCCGTCCAGGCCTCGCTCCCCCTGGCAAACGAAGGAAAGTGAGATGAACAACAGAGGGACAGGCCCAGGGTCAGTGTCACAGGAACGAGGACCAGCAAAGGCACTCAGTGGTCAGCTGTGCTCTGCTCTCCACCAGGCACCTGGGGAGAGCCCCCCAAACACACACACAACAGAGAGACACAACAGACACACACACAGCAGGAGAGAGCCCCCCAAACACACACACAACAGAGACACAACAGACACACACACAGCAGGAGAGAGCCCCCCAAACACACACACTCACACACACAACAGACACAACAGACACACACAGACACACACACTCACACACACACACAACAGACACACACAGCAGACACACACACAGCAGACACACACACAGCAGGAGAGAGCCCCCCAAACACACATGCACACACACACACGTCAGGAGAGAAACAGATACACACGCACAGAGCAGCCTGGCCTCTAAGTGTATTGGGGGGTCAGGGAGCACAAAACAAAGGTCAGAGAGGCCAGAAGCTGCAGGGAGGCCCCAGAGGTGCTGCCAGTGGGGCTGAGGTGGGACTCGGGCTGCTGAGCCCGAAGCTGGTGCTCCAAGGCCCGGGTTTCCATCCCCAGACAGGGCTGGACCCCAGGGCGTCCCCCCTGGGACTGCAGGAGCTCACCGCCACATCCCCCCGCCAAAGCTGTCCAGGGGCACGCCCTTCCGGACAGAGCAGGGGCTGCTGTGTCCAGCTCCTGGCCCCCAGGGAGTGGGCGCCCCTCTTTGTGACTGAGTAGACCCACTATACACTCTGCTGACTGTCCCGAGCCCAGCGGCCTATGGACAACCCATTCGGGCCTCACTGCCCCTCAGTCACTAGGAGGTCCTTGTGCCAATGGAGCCTGCACACCTCGTGCCTGGCAAGCAATTTCTGGAAGATGCTGAAAGCAAGGCTGGCCCGCCTGCCCCATGCCCGCAGAGAAGGTCCTGACAGGCGCTGGCAGAGCTGGGCTCGGTGGTGGGCAGGCGGGCACTGGCTCTCTCTGGCTGCACGCCATGTCTGGGAGGCCAGGCAGTGGGATGAGCCTGTCTCGAGGGGAGACAGAAACTTCCTTTTTGCTGATTTAAGAAATTTAAGAGGTTCGTGAGAAAATAAACTGTTCTAATACTCATCAGATATAAGAACTGGAATGGAGCCCAAGAGATCATGCAGCCCAAGCGTTTGGTTTGACAGATGGGAAGACAGAGGTGCAGAGAAGGAACCAGCTCCCCCCAGAGTTGCCGAGAACATTGTCAAGGGAGCTGGAGATCAGATTCAAAGCGGAGCTCTGCGCGCTCAGGTTATGCCTCCCTGCCAATCCTCTACGCCTTGCTGTTTCTCCTCTGCCTCTCCCCTTCTCCGTCTCCCACCCTCCATAAATACGGCCTCTGTTGCCAGCGCTGCTCTAAGCATTTTACAAACATTAAGTCATTTAACCCTCATAGCAGCCTTACATAACAGCTACTCTCTACATTGAGGAGACTTGAGACTCAGAGGTGAAATCAACTCTCCAAAGGTCACACCGCTTGCAGGCGCCAGAGCCGTGCCTGAAACCCAGGCAAGCTGGCTCTGGAATCACCATGCAGGGCTTCCTCTGGGCCACGCTGTAGACGGAGGCTGACGGCCGATGGCTGGACTTTCTCTCCAGGGCCTGCCCTGCAGGTGACCCCTTGCTCCCCCAGCTTCCCTGCCAGGCGGCGGCCACAGGGCGCTGGGCTGTGGCTCAGCCCGCCTGCCACGTCTGTTCTCCAAACCCTGCCTGCTCCCAGGGGGGAGCCTCCAAATCGGACCCTTGTCCCCCCATGCACTAGGGCTGCTCATCAAGCCTGTGCCTGGACCTCACTCACCCAAAGGGTCACTTTCCCGTCCCCACCTTGTACAGGGGGAGCAGAGGGCCGCAGAGAGGTGCTCCACCCAAAACCACGCACGGAGCCACGAGAACTCTCTTCAGAGAACCGAGACACCAGTCCCAACCACCACGGGGCAAGGGATTCCACTGTTGGACCTACAGTGATGAGACTGTGATATCTGACCAAACAGAAACCACGCTTTGGGGCCTGAGGTGAGGGGCGTCACCCTGGCTCTTGCCCCCCTCCTTCCGAGGAGCCTTTTGGGGACCCACAGGGCCACACGCTTCCTGAGTCATACGACACATTCTTTCCTTTGACCACAGTCTCCCTTCTAAGGGAGCGGCCAGAGGAAACCATCCTAAGTTGGGAAAAATAAATAAATAAAGGCATTGGTGTGAAAATGTTCACCAAAGCAGTATTTTTTAATCCTGACAAACTGGAAACAATCCTCACTGATCAATAACAGGGGGATGAGCACACAAATCATGGTCTATTCACGCACGGGGACGCTGTGCAGACATTTAAGATAAATCATAGGGGTCTACAGCAGCACAGGGCAGGGCAGATGCTACCCGGAGGAAGAGGAAACACGGCGGGACGCAAAGCAGAACACGTCATGTGTGACGGTGTAGGAAGACGTTGGGAAAAAAAACAATGAAAGATGTCGGAGACACAGGAGTGAGTCTTGCAAGAAATCGAGAAATGAGCCATAGTGGTCACTGCAGCAGCAGTGGGATGGTGCCATTACAGGCTGGTTTTTTTTTTTTCGTCCTGTTTCCAAATGTGTGTGTGTGTGTGTGTGTGTGTGTGTTAAGTTGCTTGAAGTAAAGTTACATTTCTTAATAATTTAGACATTTTCTATAAATGAGAGAAACATGTACTCCAGGAAGACGGAACAGGGCAGGTGCTGAAAAGGGGGCTGGAACCCGGCTAAGCGCGAGAGCCAATTTCCAGCTCTTGATCTGAAGGAGCCCAGTGAGCGGATGGGCCTGGGATTCCTGAGAATTCAATGACCGCTGCTGTCCCGGGAGGTGGTGGGGGTGTGCCATCCTTCTCCCCACCCCCAGAGCCCCGAGCACTCCACCCACGGAAGGACCTGGTCTGCGGATGACTTGTGACCCAGTGGCGTCAATATAAAGGCACAGCCAGACTCGGCGTGGAGAGTCTCAGCTGAGGTCAGGTCACAGCGCTCGGTCCATGAGGCTGAGCATGAGTTACCAAGGCCACAGGTGTCCCCACGCCCCCTCCCTCCATTAAGAGTCAGCGTCCCGGAGGTGTGGAGAGCTCCGGCCAGTTGCTAAGGAAGATGTGAGCACCCAGCAGCAACTGGAACTTTTTGAATCCCAACCCAGGGCCCAGAAACCCCAAACTCTCTCTACAAGGGGATCTCAACCCCTGCAGGTACCGGGCCCATGCCCTTCCGGGCCCAGAGTTTACATTTGGGGTCAGAAGCTAATGCCTCCTCTGCATCAGCCCTGAGTCACCAGAGGTCACACACACACACACACACACACACACACACACACACACGGTCACACACACACACGTTCACACACGCACACACGCTCACACACATGCTGTCCACAGAAAGCTGCACGACTAACTGAAGCAGACTGTAAATACCTTTTCTCCCCGGGCTCCCTTTTCCCCTCGTTCTCCATGGAGACCCTGGAGGGGAAGGGAGGATGAGTAACATGCAGACAGCCTGCTCGCCTGGGATGGTGGTGAAGGTCTGTCTCCTGTGTGTCTCACTCCCCACAGCAGCCTGCTCCTCCCTCGGGCCCGGGGGGTGAGCTGGGCCCCTGCCTGGATGAGAGCCCCTGCGGCTGGTCCCCCCGTCCCTGGATTATCCAGGTGCTCCCAGCTAAGACCTGACCTCACCTGGCCGAGCACAGCAAGGTGGCCCCAGAGTCAGTCCCCACCGCCATCCAATCATGGACCGAGGAATTGAACCTGAGACTCTGGGCCCCTTGAAGCCACATTCCTCCACCTCCCCTGGGAGAGGGCTGCTGTCCCGGCCTGCATCCACCCACCATCCTTAGGAGAAGCACCCAGAACCTGTGCAAAGGCCTCCCTCCCCTCTGCAAGCAGACGTGATGGAGACGTGTGTGGGCCTCTCTGACCACACGCTCCAATCTATGCACAGATGTGGGGTGGGGACGTGTTACAGGGCCCCGGGCCCAGGTCCCAGTCCCCCCTCAAGGACAGCAACAGAGCCCCTTCCAGCAGCAGCCTCTACTTACCGGAGCTCCGATGGGGCCGGGAGGTCCCGGAAGGCCAGGCGGTCCCTGGGATCCCTGCAGAAGAGAGTTTCCAGAGCAGAGGATTGGGGATGGAGAGAAAACGGCAGGGGCAGAGGGAAGATACAGTCAATAACCGTGTTAGGGACTGAGACAGCTGCTCCTCACCCACCACCATGTACCGCCTGCACAACGTCCCCCAGAGGGACCTCCCACCTCTGCTGCCCCCGTCCACGCAGAGCTCATGTCACCCCCTGCCTGGGGGAGCCAGGATTCACATGCAGCTCGGCTCGACTTCCACAGCAGCCTCTGAGCTCTCACGAGGCCGGCGCCGCAATCTGGTGGCCATGCCGGGACCCGGGCAGGACGCGTGTAGAGCTCCTGGTCACAGGCCGGCTTCCCGCGGCTCATCACACACACCTCACGTGGAGCCAGCACAGCCGGACACGTCCCGACAAAGCCCCCCTGGGGTCCCGAGCCCGGAAGCCCCTACTGCCTGGATCAGGAACTGCTGCTGCTTTAAGGCTGCTAAACTGGCCATACTTGTTAAAACCCATTAATGTTAAAAAGTGCTTTTCCTCAGCCAAAGATACCCCTATTTCTGTCACCTACTCTACTGAAACAAAAAAAATACAGTGGTGCGTGCATTTACTGAATTTTGTGGAAAACAAATGAAATTAGAAATAACCTGGAGGGCCACAAATAGAGGAATAAGTTATGTAAATCATGATGCATCCATATCATGGAACAGCAAGCACTGATTAAGAGAACAAGAGGTATCGATCTGTACTGGTGAGGAAAGACATGTCTCTTGTTAGAAAAGATAAATGGCAGGGTATGGCAGGATTCACTTTCTGTGAGAATTTAGGAAACATCAGGGGTGTGTACGCACACACACAAGCAGGTGTGTGGCTGCATGAGAAGCGTTTGCAGGGCGTCCAGTGGGCCCATAGAAGTTGGTTTTGCATCGAGATCTGTGCACTAGAAACACCAGAAAGTGAAAGTCACTCCGTCTGCTCTTTGTGACCCCGTGGACTATAAGGTCCATGGAATTCTCCAGGCGAGAACACTGGAGTGAGTAGCCTTTCCCTTCTCCAGGGGATCTTCCCAACCCGGGGATCGAACACAAGTCTCCCACATTGCAGGTGGGTTCTTTACCAGCTAAGCCACAGGGGAAACCCAGAAACATCAGAGGAAGAGCTCAGAGCCACACTCACCCGCAGGCCCACCTCCCCGGGCAGCCCCGGCTCGCCCGGTTCTCCTGGCTCCCCCTGCGGCACAGAGAACAGTGTGAGGTCATAACCCAGGGGACTCAGGCCCAGGCCCCGGGGCGTCCTTCCCAGAACTAGATCTCAGCACGGAAATGGTGTCCTAACAGCCGGCGAGCCGAGACCTGAGCTCCCCCCAGAGGCGCCTCCAACAAGCAAAGGAGCTGATCTTCACTGCAGGCCTTCATCACCAGAACCCCCAGCAGGCTCCGGCTCTGCTGGTCCACAGAACCAGGCTGGACGGAAGAGCGGAGAAAGCACAGTGGCTGGCATTGACGGTAAGGAGCCACTGAGGACCCAAACCGAGTTCTAGGTGGCGAAGAGGACCTCTTTATCCCGGGTCAGATGGCCCCTCCTGAGCTGAGATCACTTCCACCTGGGGTCCCGGGGTGTGTTCCAACTCAGAGGCCGGGGAGGCAGAGGGAGAGTCAGGTGCCCACTGGAGGCAGGCCGGCTGGACACATGGGCTTCGGGGGCTGCTGAGGCCCCACTGTCTCCTTGAGCTACGAACTGAGGACCTGAGAACTGGGTCCTCTGGCTCCACTCCAAGTTCCAGGCACTGGGACAAGAGCCCAGAACCGACGGTCAACCAACTGTGAAAGCAGCTCCCAGGGGCAACCAGGTGATGCCTGCTGGCCGGAGCTGCTGATGTGGTGATAGTTACCAGGCCGACCTCCAGTGACCTGGGAAGATCCTGGTACAAGGGGGCCCAGCTAAAGCCTCGCCCTAGTGAAGGCCAACCGTGCCCCCAGCCCCGGCACCGAGGACACGGGCTCTGATTAGCACGCCCCCAGTCCGGGGTGGCCTGTGGGAACAGACATACCCGCATGCCTTTGCTGCCGTCTCTTCCAGGGGGACCTGGCAGGCCCAGGGAGCCCTAGGAGGAGAGAGAGAGGAGCGGTTAGGATGGGGTGAGGACCACGCTGGACACGGGCTCTCTGCGGGGCAGCGGAGGATGCACCAGGTGGGAATCATGGCCAAGACGCTCCTACTCAGAGGGTGGCAACACGCAGATCTGCAGCCCAGACGCCTCCAGGGGAGGGCAAGAAATGCAGGCTCTCGGGTCTCCCTCCAGACCCCTGCCTCTGGGTCCACGTTTGAACAAGACCCCTGGGTGGTCTGTATGCACCTGACAGTGGGAGTGAGATGCCCCAGCCCTGCCTCTCAGTAACTCGCCACGTGGCCACCCCACTCCGGGGCCGGGTCACACATTCAAGCAGAGGGTCGGCCGCAGCAGGGTTCTTGACCTGGGCCCCCCAGCACTGGGCAGGTGAGCCTTTGCTGGGGGCGGGAAGGCTGCCCTGGGTGGCGCAGGGTGTCCTCCAGCAGCCCTGGGTGCCAGGTACCACTCCCCGGGTGTGACAACCCAAGCGTCCCTGGGAGGAAAAATCACACCAGAAACACTGGGCTAGGCCAGGTATCAAAAGTGCTCCTTAAGCTGGGGCAAACTCGGTTCCAGTGAATCAAGAGGAAACATATGGCACACATGCTCATGCAGCAGCTGTGGGGACGTCCCCATCCCACCGCCATGCTCCCTGGAGATGCAAGAAGGGCAACTCGGGGACAGGGAGCCCGGAGACCCCTTAGCTCCCATCCAGCTCCCACACCGTCCCATTCAAATCAAAGGACTCCACCAAGACCTCCATCCCGCTCCCTACTCTCCATCAATTTTCCAAGGACCACAGAGCAAGTCAATGCCTCTTTCTGGGGCTTTTCCATCTGTGAAATGAGGATGTCAGACATTCAGTGAATAAATGAACTGATGAACCTGTAAGTAATATCTAGATAACACTATGGGCTAAACCCTGTAGGAAGTCTTCTACAAATATTTTCTTATTTAGTTCTCAAAATAAGCCCATGAGATAGGTTTTATTTTCTCAAAGAAACATCACATATTTATAGTTTTACCTAGAAATTAAGATACACGCATGTATGCACTTGTGCGCACACACGCATGCACGCACACACAAATACTTTAAAAATTTCTACAAAGTGCGTTCTATGGGCAAACATTCTAAGTTGTTCTGCTATTGGAGAGAAAAACAGACAGACATCTCTGACCCACAACTGCACCTTTCTAGCCATGGGACCCCAAAGGCAGCCACCCTGGAAGGCAGTGCGTCACTCATCTCTCTTCAAAGTGTGCCAAGTGACACCGGCAGGATGACCAGGAGGGTGACTGGGGATTTCGGATATAAAGCACACACCACACGGGGCACCCCCACAGCCAGCAAAGGACGCCACAATTCACATGCAATGTGCACAGTAAACTGCCTGGGTGGTCATTTCCTCGGGACAACTGGGAGCTGACGGGGTGCTCGCTAGGGTCAGACTGTCCTCCCCGTCCACTCCTATAAGAGAAGGGCAGCTGCGGCCAGAGATTCCTCACCCTCTAATCCCACAGCTGCACAGTGGGGATGAAGCCCCTGCCTGCCTGTCCCTCCATCTGACTGTTCTGAAACTCAACTGAGGTTGAACGAGGCGACCAGTCCAGATGCAAGCGATTTCTCTGATACGGAACGGCGACTAGACACCAGCTAGCATTGCTTTCATTAGCGTTAATGGCAGAGCCAACAGCAATACGAACAGGATACTAAAGACAACATTAAGAGGACATTACAGCTGTGCGGCTCACAGCCTGTCTTCATGTCACATTCCCGACCTGTCATGTTCTCAGCACTCTCTGCTCATCAGGGCACTGAACTCACCCCCCCAGCACATCCATGCTTCACACTCCCGTCACATGCAGCCCACACGCACACAAGGACCCTGGCTTCCTGGGGCCTCCCAGCAGTTCCATGGCCGGTAAGGCAGGCTGGGGCAGTGGAAGCCTGGGCACCCAGCCCTGCTCTCCCTCCCCAGCACCCCTTCCCTGGGGAAGCATCAGAGTTTCCCCGAAGGCCTCTCAGGAGGCAGGCACTCTGCTCAAGCCAGCACACTGGGGGTCAGGAACAGCATGGGCTCAGCTCCCCAGACGCCCTGTCTCCAAGGCCCATGTTTCATCTGCTCAGAGCTAAAGCAAAAGGCGGTGTGTTTCCAGGTAGCCAGGGCGAACCCACTTACTCCTGCTTCCCTACAACACGAGAGAGAAATTCAAGATTTCCCAAAAGGGGAACATCAAAAAGAATAAGGACACCCTCAAGATCAGGCCCCCTGGGGTGACGTGGCACAGAGCTCACCCCGGGGGTCAGTTACCCAGTCCTTCACAGGCCAGTCTGTCTCCTGGCGGCTGCAGGTGGGAAGGGATGTCTACAGGGGCTCCTGCTGCAGGAATACAGGCGGCAGGGGCAGCAGGGCACAGAGCTGCCAGGACCGTGTAATAAAGGAAGCTGGGGAGGAGTCCAGAGACAATGCCAGAAGGAACTCCAGAGAGTTCCGGAACCTCCACTGCACCCACAGCTGTCGCACGTCCAGCCCTGTCATTGCCGTCCACCAAGTTTCTGGGTGAGTCTGTCTCATCAGAGGACCGGAGCGCCACGAGCTGGGAATCGGGACTCGGTCACATCCATGTGAACTGTGCCCACTGGGCCCAGAGCCCCACAGGAGTTCTCTGTGCATCCATCCCTTCCCAAGCCCCGTGGGCATGCAAGGGGAGACCCTCCTACTTCAGAATTAGCCCTGGGCGTATGAAACCCCAGGGCCAAGTTGAACCGCAGGCTGTTGCAGGAAAACAATGGTTTCAAGAGCCGTCACTCAGTACTGACAGACTAGGCCAAGTCAGTGCAACGCTCGGAGTCTCAGTCTCCGCTGGTAAGTAGGTGCCATGAACCTCGCTGCAGGATCTGTGCTTCCCATGGATGGGAACAGCTCGGCAAACTGGCTTTAGAGAACTGGTGTCCCAGAGCCAGGGCTTCGCCAGTGGCTCAGTAGTAAAGAATCTGCCCGCAATGCAGGAGATGCGGGTTCGACCCCTGGGTCAAGAAGATCCGCTGGAGAAGGGAATGGCTACCCACTCCAGTATTCTTGCTGGGACAGTCCCACAGATAGAGGAGCCTGGTGGGCTACAGTCTTGTCGGACACAACTGAGCAAGCACGCATCCTAGAACCAGTCCCTTCTGTTTTGTTTTCAGGGCTGGGCTACCCCTGCAGTCTAAGAAAGTCAGCCTCTTTAGAGATGAATGAATATTTTCTTTGTCTAAGAAGCCAACATGTTTTTTTTTATTATTATTTTATTTGAACCATGGTTGGGAGACCCAAGCCAGCACTGGAAATAAGACACATACTGAGAAACTTCCACTTTCAAGTCATCATGAGGTCCAGGTATTTTGTTAGATGGGTTCCTGCCTCGGGAGGCTGGGTGCCCAAGAAAAAGTCGATCTGGCCCAGATATTTCATATTCTAGTGTCACATAATCTTAGTATCACACAACACCACCATGCTCTCACACACACCTTCCAAAGTCCTTCTCCTGAACTCAGCTGCCTGCAGATGCTGTGAAGAGAGAAGTTCCCACCCTAAGCTGCCCCCTGACATGCCACCAGCAAAGTCACACTGCCTCCTGGAGCCTTGGTGTCATCATTTGCAAGACAGAGGGTCATGCTGCTTGAGATAAGAAAACAAGTGTGAATATAACTGAAGACTATAAAATATTGAAGTGACAGTTGTTTATATTCTGTGGAGAACTAAGAACACTTTCTCAAGTCCATAAGGCGGGTCAATGAGAGGAGTGGGAAACAGACTGGAGGCTGACCTGGAGCTGGAAAAGTCAGGCGGAGAGGGATCCTTAAAAGGGAGTATGTGTAGCTCAGGATCCGCGGTAAAGTACGAAAAAAAGAGAAAGGGGATAGAGGGAGGGAAGGAAGGCAGGGAAGGGAGGAAGGAAAGACAGAGAAAGATGAAGATGAGAGACAGGGGAGGAGAGGAGAGGACCAGACTGGGGGGAGGGTCTGGCTTCAGGTGACGCCTCTGCTGAGCATCAGCTGAGCAGAAACAGTGACTTCCCCTCCTGGGCCTCAGTTTCATCACCTGTGAGCAGGGCGATGCAAGGAGGAACAGCACCTCTGGCCCAGAGTGGCTGGAAAGATGCCGTGAGACAATGCTTTGGAAAATGATTTGAATACGGGGGAATCTGAAAGGAGCATCAGGTTCTGTTATTTGGAATAAACTATCTGGAACCTCCAGTCTTCGCCTGTGAGAAAGAAATCACTCAGCTTAAGATGACTTTATACGCATATACAATGGAATACTACTCAGCCCTAAAAAATAACAAAATAATGCTATTTGCAGCAACATGGATGCCAGTAGAGATTATCATACGAAATAAAGTTAGAAAAAGGCAAATGCCATACTTATCACTTACATGTGGAACCTAACATATGACACAAATGGACCTATCTATGGAACAGACTCACAGACACGCAGGAGAGACTCCTGGCGGCCAAAGGGGAGAGATGGAGTGGGAGTCGGGTTAGTAGAGGCAAGGTGTTACATAGAGAAGGTATGAGCAACAAGGTCCTACTGACCAGCATAGGGAACTACAGCCAGTATCCTGGGACAAACCATGAAAAAAAAATAATATATATATACTCAGAATATATATATATATACACACACACTGAGTCACTTTGGTATACAGAAGAAATTAGCACAACATTGCAAATAAACTATACATCAAAAAATAAATTATAAAAAGAAAATACATTCTGCTTCATCTTCATGATATGTCACAGTCATTATGGAATAGAATTACTAAAACCTGGGTGAAAAAACAAACAAAAGGATGACTGTCGATATGCACATGAAACCCATTACAGACGACAGCCAGGGCTGGGGGACGAGGGGCTTCCCCTCAGTTCACACCGGCAGCTGTGACTCAAAATCTGGGCCCTGATTCCAAGTCACTGCTCTGACCTCAGCCGCTCCACACACACACACTGC